CTAACACAGTCGCCATCTTGCCAGGAGTGCCGCCCCCTCCTCCCCCTGAGCCAGGCTTTCTCTCAGCCATTTTGACCTTCTGTCAGCCACTTTCTAAGCAACTCTGAGAAATTCAAGGGGCGATTTCATCGCCTGAGCTTAAAATACACATTAATCACATTTATTTTCACCATTTCACACAAGAATAACCAAAGACTACAACCAACGTAAAGAATCAAAACTTTAATTTCCCATGTTCTTTCCAGAAAACTATCCAGTAAACTACATGGCTATATCTGAATTCTGGCTAGCCAAAGAAAAAGCACTATCATGAGGCAGAGACCAAACAAACATCCACTCTCCATCTTTCTGATTCGTTTCTCTAGAACTCCACTCCCAAGGGACCATAATGTGTTAGTCTGGGTAGACTAGAGAAACAAATTCATAGACACTCATGTGTGTAGAAAGAGCTTTATATACAATAACAAGTGAATACTGTAAAAACATCCCGCCCTAGTCCAAATCAAGTCCATAAGTCCCATATTAGCACATATGTCTGATACCAATCTATAAAGTCTTCTTCAGACTCACAAAACACAAGGAATGACACTGAATGCAGAAAGAACACAGGGTAAAATATCTTGTGGATCCAGTGGCGGTATAAGCATCTCAGTGCTGGTGTGGGTCTCCACGGGGCTCCTCCAGCTCTAAGGCTCTGGCTGTCATCAACCTAGCTCCATGTGGCTTGTCCAGAGGAAGATGATGCAGAGAATGTGTGTCTATCTGGCCTCCAGTGAGCTATTTATCTTCGTGATATGTCCAAATGAGGTCATCAAGCTATGACATGATTGATAGGCTAGACTCTACCCCTTCACAAGTTGACACCAGATTGTATAACTACCACAGGAACCATACTTAAGGGGTATTCGAGGTTATAGAACTCTTAGGGATCCTGCCCTGCAGGCTCAGGGTTGCCACTTTGAGGTCCTTATTCTACATTAGCTTCCAGCAACCCCTTGGTCTCCACATTTGGACATGACTTACCCTTGTTTCTGTATCTGCCCTAGTTCTCAACCCCAAAGCAACTTACCCTGGAGAAGATCCTTGACAAAGAGGAGAAACCTATTTCTATGTTCAAATCTTAATCCACAAACAGGGATCACACGTCACCTGATGTGGGTGTCTCCTGGAAGACATACCTGCCTGCCTAGGCCACTCTTTCAAGATTCCTCCTTACAAACTTACACCTCTGGCCAGAGAGCATCTGTCCAGGAAGGTCTCCATGGCACAAGGAGCAGTACAGCTCTATAGCCACTATCTTGATTCTTTAATGGCAACTATGCCCACATCCATCCCTAGTTCAGTGTTCACATTAGTCTATACTTCAAATGAATAAAGGGAGCATGGGGCTGCTTCTGCTTCAAGGAAGTCACTGTCTGCCAATTAACCCAATCAGTGACATATAAGGCCCCTACTCTGATTTTTTTGACCTTATATGGCCCAACATCTCTCCTTAATGCTCTTGAATATCTTCTTCCTGCATTCCAATGATTTTAGAATTAAAAACTTAGGCTCTCAGAAGTACCTACTCAGTGGTGAAGAATACCACTCTGGCCTAACTCTGCCTCCCACACAACATGGGAGTC